GATGTGCCAGTTCGATACCTCTCCATTGAGTTTTTTTAATGTTATTTCTCGCTATCATACAGTGATTTTGATGGCTTTTCTATTGATTAAATAAAAATGAGAAGAATCTTTTTAAAAAAAATCCCGAAGTGCGGGCCACCCAGCGCCTCTTAGACATTGATAGGCGGGCCACCTTCACGTTTGTACGCCATGCGGACTAGATGTACGTCCTGATATGAATGGTGGCACCGTATTTGCATGGCCAGACAAGTTCGAGCACCAGTTTCACGTATTTTGCAACTTTAGGCACTAAACTGATCGTCCAAGACAAGTTGAGGCACGGCCAGACAAGAACGCAAGCATGATTCGTTCGGATAGGGATAAAGTGATTGTATTTGCACGAGAACGCAAGTTGGGTGACCACAAATCCATATTTTTAAAGTTCTAACACCAAACTGAACATTCAACCCAAGTTCTATGACCTCTGGTGATATTACCTCTTCATAAGGTATCTAGAAACTGCAAACCTTGAAAAGATAGCACCTTTTAATATTCTAATAGAAGTATGATGATCATTACTTTTAGTTGGAATAACTTCTACCTACTTGGTGACATAACCAATAACAACTAAAATATGTGTTACAATATGAAGTTGGAAAGGGTCCCATGGAATCAAAACACTAGAAATTAAAAGGTTAGTAACAAAATAATAATTCATAGGCATGCCTTGAGGTTTGATAATATTACTACACTTTCCTCCTATGCCTGGTGGAACGCCGACAAAGCGCCGACACAGGCTGGACCTCCGCCACGGCGGCGTTGTAGTGCGCCTGCACCTGCTCCATGGGTGAAGTCGGCGTGCACAGGAGGCGCGGTAGCCGGAGCGGTGTCGTCGGAGCTCGTCCCCATCGTGGTCTCGTCGTCGTTGGAGGAGGCCTCGGGCGAGCTGGCCGGCAAGCACGCCTCTAACCCGCCTGGCACGGTGGCTCTGCCAGGCAGGGGCAAGGGCGACCACGACGTGCTTCATCTCCGTGCAGTCATGACGGATGTAGTGCAAGGGAGGGGATAGGAAGGGGCTTCTGTTGTGGTGTGGAGTTAGGCAGGTTTGGCCGCCTTTATATAGAGGATTCTTGTGAGGCCAGACGTCAGGGGGCATCAACGCGCGGTGCCGCAGTGGGTTCCTCGGCTGGCGAGCTTGCTTAATGGCGGCATGCGGACGGACAACGGCATTGAACCGGCATGGTAGATATTCGTCCTGTCTCGTCCAGTCACGCGTTTCCTGCATTGAACAGACGTGGACACCGGAGACGCATCACGGGCGGCGCCCTCGGCCGGTGCGCCACTTCAATGGTCGCGTCTGCCCTAAGCCATCTTCAATGTTGAATGATGCGCTCTATAGAGGCATGAATGCGGGTAGCTGACGCAGGACGGAAACACACGCGGGCGAGTGAGAAGGGGTTTTGGTGGGTCAGGGCGGTTAGAAGAGAGCGTGGCCCGAACTACCACAAAGCTCCTCATGTTTGTCTCTGGTTTGCCGAAGAATTTGCGTCTGAACTACGCTGCAGACTGATAAAAGGCATGTATTGGATGCATTGGCGGAGCTATGTGTGCTCCTGGGGTGGCTGTGACCCCTAGCCTTGGCAAAAAGTGTGAAGGAATTTTTTTGAAGGGTGTAGATGAGTATAAATTATTGAAAAAGGCTTTCGCTCCGCTTTATAAATAAAGCAAATCGTCAAGAGCATACATACAAGTACTAGTCCAGAATACACACACCTAAGTCTCACAGGATGAGTATAAATTTAGTATTTGGCCCCCTCATGTTTGGATCTTTTATCATTTGCCCCCCTGCTTGTAGTATAACTTGGAATTATTTTGCTTGGTAATAAAGGTGGCCGTATGCATCGCTCTGATGCAGAGGCCGGGGATATTCCCTTTTTGAAAAAAAAAACATTTGCCCCCCTAAACTTCCTCCCTAGCTCCGCCAGTGATTGGATGGCTTCCGCTGTCCGAAGAACGCGGTCCAGACGCATGCAAAAAGTTTGTGTGTCAGCGTTAGAGACGCCCTAATCATGCATCGGTTAGAAGAGGGCGTGGGATTAGTCTAGACTATCGCAAAGTCCCTCATGTTTGCCTCTGGTTTGCCGAAAAATTTGTATCTAAAGCACGCTGCGGACCGATAAAAGGCCTATATTGGATGGCTTTCGCCGTCCGAACGGCGCGGTCCAGAAGCATGTAAGATGTTCGTGTGTCAGCGTTGGAGATGCCCTAATCACCGATCGGTCGCCTCGTGCTCTACCGCGTCAAAAAGTCATCGCTTCTGCCGGAGTCAGAGGAAGACGAGGTCCGGCCGGAGCACGAGTGTCGGCCGAGAAGACCAGTCGCGATAGACTTCATCCTTTTATAACTTTCAAAGTTAGCCGCCATGCAGTAGTAAATCCGTTGGTTGATCTGGCATGTTCTCGATGATGCCATCGTGATGTCAGGATCGCTCGCCTCCTTGTGATCCGATGGCAAAACGACTCCATGCATGATATCCAGCTACCAACGTCTCTGATATTAGGATCACTCGCCTCCTTTCGAATGCCCGGCCGGATTCATTCATCTTGTGTGAATCGTCGGATTTTGGTCGTGTACAGAGCACTGACTCATCCGATGGAGCAAACCCACAGGCCAAGTCGGGATATTGCAGCGGACGGTTGCGGCATATAATATTCCTTCTCTCTCTGCGAGAAATATAGGCCATGTTTGGTTCATAAGTCCTGGCATTTTTTCTAGTCTCAACTAAAAAGTCCCTAGTCCCTAAAAAGTTCCTCCTTGTTTGTTTTCAGAGACTAAAAAGTTCCTAGTCCCTTCCTATAGGTTATTAAATGACCATATTGCCCCTAGTATATAGAAAAATAACAATCAAACAACACTATGGGGTGGCGGGCCAATGAATGCATGGAGGGGCATTGTTGGAAAAGTCTCAAAAAGTCCCAAAAAAGACTCTCCTTGAGAGTCTTCTTCATTTAGTCCTAAATGCCTAGTTTAGTCCCTAAAAAGTCCCTCCCGTTTGGTAAAAAAGTCTCTAAGAGGGACTTTTTCTAGTCTCTACACAAAAAAGTCCCTGAAATCAAACACCCCAATAATATTCTTTCTTACGAGTAATGGTACGATGAAATATACTGTTCCTTCCCACGAAAGAGGCTTCCGAATGGACGCGCAATATCATAGTCCCGAGCTCAAATGCTCTCTTATGATCACGCAAAACTTTATCATGAAATAACATTTGTGAAATCCTTGACAAAAATACAAAAACAAAATCAATGCTCCAAAAATGATACTTCATCTGTAAACTTTTATAAAAAAATTTAGATCACTAACATTATGAAAGCATGTTGGAGTACTGAATTTTATATTTTTGTTGTTACTTCCAATAATATAAATTCACGATGAAAATTTGCAGGCACTCAAAACATTTGTCAAAGTTTGCAGCAAAAAAAATTCAGATTTTTTGATTTTTTTTCAATTTTTTCTTCAGATTTACTATTCATTCCGAGCTCAAATGAGCTCACCAGTAGAAGGGGACTTTCGCTTCCAAACCCAATATAAAGTATAAATGGCGGAATCAATACAAAATCATGATACTATTCCTTCTCTAGGAAATGCGTTGCGAACTTATGATTCATGTATTGAAATTTGAAAGCAAATGAAAAAGTCCATTTTGGTCTCTCAAATCATCGACTTGATTGGATTTGGTCTTTAAATGAAAAACTAGTAAAACTAGGCAAATTTAGTCTCTATCCCGACTTGAAGCGGTTACGTTGATAACTTGGTGTGATTTTGAGCACATGTGGCACGTGGCAGCCAAATCATCTCTTCGGTCTTGTTTTAAACATTTGAAAGTTCAGGATATATATTATAGGTAGGCTATTTAGTTGAAGCTCCCAGGAAGGGGATGGCAAATCAAATGTTTTTATGGCAATCTATATTAGATGACAAATTTAGTTTGCAAGCACGGCAAATCCTGACAAAAATGTACCGAGACGCATTTATCATGCTTGTCAACTAAACTTGTTATCCTTGGCCGCATAAATTGCCATGCAAATTGTATGCAATTGCCATATTTCCAAACTGCCCTTCGCTGGTTAAGAGGGTCTTAAATTATTTGGTTTTAAAGTTTGAGGTACCAAATATGTATGAGTTGACAAATTAAGCACTGCTAAACATCACTTGCCTGAATTTATTTATTCAACCAGCACACGTATATCACCAGCCCGAAGGGGGGTCTCCGTGGCTAGCCGAGGTGTCACCATCGAGTGCGAACAAGGAGATCATCGGAGACGGGGATGCCACAACGCCGCCGGTGAAGGAGAGGCAGGTGGTTATTTGCAAGTTTGAGTCCGGGTGTCGTTGGCGCCGGAGTTGGTGGTCAGCTTTAGAGGGAAGACCAGGGCAGCGACAACACGGCGAAGGCGGAGGTACCCGCCGGTCGCAGGTGGTTGGCCAGCAGGACAGGTCACAGAAGAGAGGAGGAAAAAGAAGGCGCACGGGAAGAGGAAAAAGATGGCTCCGTTGGATTTCAATCTAACGGCTAAGAAAATTGGATGATGCTAAAAAAACAGTTGCACTGCAAGTATGTGGCCCCTATATTAAGTGACCAAAATGTAGTGTACGTACTAGGCTTCAGCCCGGCACGCTGCTGTGCCGCGTGCGGTGGCGGCGCACGGTGAAGATCGAATCAACCCACCATTAGTCAGTTTATTATCACTCCTAGCTTCCTCTGTTTCTCCTCCCTGCGTAGAGCCGCCGCCGGCTGCTGCTTCTGCTATATAAACGAACGAACGCACGCACGCACGCCAGCACTTGAGTCATCTCGCGCGGAAAAGTTAGAAGTGTTCTCTGCTGCTCGTGTAATTTAGCCCTGCAAACAGAGCGACCTTGGCTGAGTTGCGTGCGTGCCGTCCGTCGCTGTTTGCATGGCCTTCGCGTTCAAGGCGTCCCTCACCGTGTCTTCCTCGGCTCTGCCGTTGAACCACACCATGCGTCGTGGCCAGGCCGCGGTGGCGGTGCCCACGCCGGGTAGGCCCCTGGTCGGAGCGGTCGCCGTGGCGGCGGTGACCGCGCCCGCTCCTGCTGGGAGGTGCGCGTCGCTATCCGCGGCTGGCGAGCGCGGCCTGTCGGTGGCAGAGGCCATGTCTCGCGTCAGGGCGAATGGCAAAGTAAGTGCGCCGAGTGTACTAAGCTCAGTTCGCAGCATCCATGCACGTAAAAGATCGATGCTAATCGACCAAGGCTTTACTGTTGCGCGCGCGCGCAGACGGCGTTCATCCCGTACATCACCGCCGGCGATCCCGACCTTGCGACGACAGCGGAGGCGCTCAGGCTCCTCGACAGCCTCGGCGCCGACGTCATCGAGCTCGGCTTGCCCTTCTCTGACCCCTCTGCCGACGGGCCAGTGATTCAGGCATCCGCTGCGCGTGCGTTGGCTGCTGGCGCGACCACGGACACCGTGCTGTCGATGCTGAAGGAGGTGACGCCGGAGCTGTCCTGCCCCGTGGTCATCTTCTCTTACTTCAACCCCATTGTGCGCTGTGGGACGGGATGTTTCGCCGCGGCTGCCAAAGAAGCCGGTGTCAAAGGTAATTAACATGTTAAATATTTTAACTGATGTTGACAATTAACACAACAGATTTGCTAATTCGCACTTGTTACATTGCATGTACTTCAGGCATTATCATTCCCGACCTTCCATACGAGGAGATGCATGCTTTCAGGAAAAAAGCCATCAAGAACGATCTGGAGCTGGTACGTGCATGTCCTCATGAAAAATTAATGCCATGTTAACAGAGCTCAGGATTAAGCCAGTCCTTGAACAAGTTATTATGGTTTTTCAATAAATGATTGTAGATCCTCCTTACAACGCCAGCTACACCATTAGAGAGGATGAAAGAAATCACAAAAGCTTCAGAAGGGTTTGTTTACCTTGTAAGTGCAGAACACATGCATAAAATCCTAACTTCTTATTCCAATTCTGGCTTTGTGATCAATTTCAGAATGAACACTCTATCCCCTAATTAACTAATTTGCGTCATGCAGGTGAGTGTCGTTGGAGTTACAGGAGCCCGGGCAACCGTAAACCCGTGTGTCAAGGATCTTCTTCAGGAGATTAGACAGGTTTGTAGAAACAAATTATTAAAACCATCGATTCTTTTCTCTTAACCAGTAAAGAAATAAATTTCCCACCTTGTATGCTAAAAGTATCATCTGTCAAATATCTTTCGTAATTGCTCGCAGGTCACAAACAAAGCAGTGGCGGTTGGCTTTGGCATATCGACCCCAGAACATGTTAGCCAGGTAGATAACACATCGAAAAATTCACCAAAAAATTGTGATCTTGGTTCAAAAATCTCAATAAGATTATTACATTGCTGACCTCCACTTATGAATGGACACAGATTGCCGAGTGGGGTTCAGATGGAGTGATCATTGGTAGTGCAATGGTGAAACAGTTGGGTGAAGCAAATTCTCCAAGAGAAGGATTAAAGAGGCTAGAAGTATATGCCAAGAGTTTGAAGAATGCACTCCCATGATATGCAATTAACATGGTTAATTATTTAGGGTGGCAAGCCAGCATGGTGGTCAAAATTTAAATCAGTAGAAGGGTAGAAGGTATTTGCAATTTTTATGTCGCAAAAAGAGACTAGTGTTTACCTTTATAGTTAGTGTTTGCATATGCTTTTGTTCGTTGTTGTGTTAACTTGGGAGTGTTAATATCAAGTGAGTGAAGTAATTACATTGTCAACCTCCACTCATTGGTGGACATAGATTACCAAGTGGGATGTAGATGGAGTGGTCATTGGTAGTGTAATGGTTAAACAGTTAAGGTGAAGTGGCTTCTCCAAGAGAAAGGTTGAAGAGGCTAGAGGACTTCGCGGAGCATCAGGGATGCACTATAATGATATGTAATAGCATAGGTCATTCCCTAGATCACCATGACATGTGGAAATAAAGGTAGTGAATTGTTCTTAGTTTGTGCTCAAGTATGAAAGGGTAGAAGCAACATAGTTACCTGTTGTTTTTGTATGACAAGAACACCAACAGGTAACATGTCGATGACCTGATCACGACACGTGACACCACCTACCACCTGCGCTACTACCCCGACGCTGCTTCCTCATCGTACGACTACTAACCGGGAGCCGCACCCTATTAGAAGAACACAAGCAAGATAATTTTGTCAGGGATAATGGTATCATCGCCTCCTCCGAAGCACAACTTAGAAGGGACTTTTTTCATTGATAGAGGTGATCCACCTACCCAAAAAATCAACGGCGAGTTTTCGGAAGAGATGCATCCACACTCCCTGCAAGGTGAAGTACATCTCCACACTCCAACACAAGATATTGCCACACATGTTGTGAATACTCCAGACTCATTGTTGGGGACAACTGCAATGGGGGTGGAAGACAAAGAACAACATAGTTCGCCTTTTAAAAGGCTTCACAAAGTCCCAGGGCCTCCACCCCCTCACATGGCAAGCATTATTGAAGAACATACCTCCACCATAGTCCATGAAGGGAATAAGATTGCGGCTGCATCAGCTGATGAGGAAATTCCACATGCTCCTGAAGCAAATGAGCAGCCCACTGAAAATGTCAATGTAAATAAGAATGCACCGGGCAATGCCTCTGTTATTGAAGAATCTGCACAAGAGGCTGGGGATGATGAATAAACTGCCAATCCAACTCAAATGTCGTGGCCCTGACTCAAGATGCCTGAATGCGACAAACTAGACCGTGAACTGACTGTCTTCAACAGGCCAATTGTGAACCCTGTGTCGCGGCTGCCTCATCTTCGTGGTCCTGGCTAAAAAGGGCCTTACTGGTTCAACGAGCGAAGAGTTGCTCATACTCTGAGGTTCTTCGAGTCTGATTACAATCCACATTATGCCCTGGAAATCACTTCAGGTCGCTTCTGGAACCATCATCAGCGCCAATACTATTCATGTGCGTTATATAATCATTACAAAGTTTTTGCTCATTGTCATATCTCCATTGGTGCTCGTTGCCTGAATTCATTGAGGCCTCCATGTTATCTTTTGCGTCACATGTAGCTTCCTCCTACTTATAATGCATCTGAGTTCCTATAATGTAATAACTATGCTATGAACTGATCTATGTTTATCGGCTCTGCTGACATTCATGATTCCACACGTACCTCACCTACCATTAATTGCTAACATCGATCTCACCTGCTAACACAAACAAAATTCATATACATGAGCCAAAATAAGTAACAAACATGCCAGCCCAATGTACAGAGCCAACAACGTAAGACCAAAACAAGCCACCCTCGGCTTCCTTTGCTGGAGCCGAACTCTAAGCTGAGCAAGAGGTGCCAATTTCTGGCTTTTGTTGGCCGAGTCGAGCTCCGCAGCAACCACCTGCATGACAGAGAGGTGCAGGACCTCTGCCACAAGCACTTCGGCCCGCTGTCGTGCTCTCCAACGAGGAGGCGGGAGGAGGAAGAGAGCGTGATGTGGAGGCGGCTCTGGCCACGACGGGAGCAGACAGAAGTGGTGGTGGCGCTGATTGAAGGGGAGGGGACCAGAAGGGCACACAGGATGGTTGCTCTTGTGGGGAAAAGGATGGGAGTGGCTGGAGTGAAGGAAAAAAGGAGAAGAGAAACAAAAGAAAAGAAATGGCAACCAATGAACAAGTGGTCCCATACGAAGGTAGGACCTATGTAACTTTTTATAATATGTTTTAGAGTCTACGACAGTGTGAAGATGTAGAATTTAGAGTTGCATTTTAGTAGATTTTATCTGATAGTGTAAAAACATTTTAGAAAGAAGAATAGTGTTGCTTTGTTATTAAATTAACTGCAATATCTACCAATATAAGAGGTATATAAGTGCGCATAAGCACCAATAAAAAAACTAGTCCAACGTCATAAAATGTTAGCCAAGTGCCAGCTGGTTGGGTTCAAGACCTAATATGGGCAGGTCTAGGTAGCGGTCGGCTGCTCCTTGGCCTTCGCTAGTGGCCAGTAATTTATGGAAAGTGTCTTGTCCCTTTTGCTGATTAGGAAAGGTTTCTCTGGTCCCAACTAGTTAAACAAGAAATAGCCAAAGAATATGCATATTAAATGATCCACATGCATCCGCTGCGCCTTCTTTTACTGCATGGGCATGGATGGCTTTCTATCATCTAATTTATGATTTGCAAAATTCAAAACACCATAACATTCAAACCGTGCATCGAAATTAAGATCCGTTTTCACTGTTGGAATCCTCGTGGCGTGCTCTTCGAAACTAGATCCCGTATGTGTATTGTTTTGACGGAATTTTTTTGTGCAACTTAGTCCCTTATTTTGTGCAACTGACTAGAAGCAATGTGCAACTAGCTCACAGTGGATGTGCAACTTCCCGCCTACCCCGTGGACGTGCAGTTTTCACTGATGTCACCTCCACCCCTCAAACTACCCCTTCCAGTGACATGTGTAACTTCGTCTATTGCTCAGGCCAACTGCCTAGTTCTTGATGTGCAACTTTCCCCTACATGTGGATGTGCTTTCACTGTTTGATGCATCCGCCAACTGCCTAACAGTGGATGTGCAACTCCAAATACTGTCACGACCAACTATCTAACAGGGATGTGCAACTTTTCATCATACCCTGATGGATGTGTAGTTTTTCCTTTTAGCAACCGGTCCAAACCACCCCTGCTAGTGAGATTTGCAACTTCAGCGCCTTGTCTATATGCAGCTTTTCACTATCCTCGTGAATGACCATCCAACTATCACTACTAGGAAAAGGCCTACTAGTGGTGCACCAGTTTTGCCTACTAATGGCGCACTACTGGTGCGTCACTAGTACCACGCCACCAGTATTTTTTACTAATGGCGCACTACTGGTGCGCCATTAGTATACCAGATACTAATGGCGCACCTGTAGTATGCCATTAGTATGCCTAGAGGTGCGCCATTACTATCTCACTTAGTAATGACGCACCACATAGGAGTGCGCCATTAGTAATAAAAAAATTCAAATTTTTTTTCAATTTTTTTCTTAATCTCAGGTCACTATGGCTTAATCTCGGGTCAAATCACACTCCGTGGTCAAACTTCCCGAAAGGTCACCTATCCTCACACTACTCTAGCCCAAGCACACTTAACTTCAAAGTTCTATCCAATCCCAACACCAGCTCACTTCACAGGCACTTGTTGATATATCTAGCATATCAATCCTATTAAACCTTGTTGATGTTTAGGACTTTGTTCATGTTCATGAGTGTGATGAAATTTTCAAAAATTATTTCAAACTTCCGTTCATATTACTATCATATTTTGAAAAAAAAATCCCGAAAAAAAATCGATTTTTTTCTGTTACTAGTGGCGCACCTAGCAAACGGTGCGCCACTAGTAAGTTTGAAATTTTTTGAATTTTTTTGCCTCCAGATCTTAAAAGCCCCGTAACTTTTTTTCTGTTAGGTTTTTGAGGATTTTGAAAATGTTTAACTTAGTTACCCTGATTAAATTCGGATGTAACTTTTCAAGTAGATGATTTTTCATATAAAAAACTTTTTAATCCGAGTTTGTATGCAAAAGTTATCCCCATTTTACAAATTCCAGAGAGATTTTGCAAATAAAGTCGAAATTCAAATTTGTAAATTTTCCCAACAACTAAACCACATATCACATGGGAAACTTATTTTCTTTTATTTTTTTGATATTTTCATCATTTTCTTTTATTTATTTTAAAACTGAAAAGGCGGTCCACCAGGGGGGGGGGGGTGTGCATTCGGGCGAATTTTTGGGCCAAGTTAGTAATGGCGCACCGTGGGAGTGGTGCGCCATCACTAGTTCAACTAGTAATGGTGAACCACTCCCACGGTGCGCCATTGCTGCACAGCGTACGCGATCTCCAATGCATCATTGTCAGGTACTGAAGGGCTCCAACAAGACTGCGATATTTTGACGCGTCGGGGATCGGTGCGCTATCCGTGGCTGAGAGCTTGGAGTGCGTGTTGACGGGGGTCGAGGCAGGTTTGCACAGAATCATGTTGGCGCGCTCCAATAGCTCTTCGGTGTAGCCGCGCTGGGAGAGGAAGAAGTCGTGGTCGTCTCTGGTGACGGCGATCCCCAGGAAGTAGTGTAGGGGCCCGAGGTCTTTCATGGAGAATTCCGCGAACAATTGCTGTTATAGGCGTTGGAGAAGGGTCAATGAGGAAGCCGCAAGGATTATGTCGTCGACGTACAGTAGTAGGTAGGCTGCGCCATCGTCATGGTGTAGCGTGAACAGCGACGGATCGGAGCGGGAGTCGTGGAAGCCGGTGGTGCGGATGAAGGTAGCGAACCGCGCGAACCAGGCGCGCGGCCCCTGCTTGAGGTCGTAGAGGGACTGGTCAAGGAGGCATACATGGTCGGGGTTGTTGGCGTCGATGAACCCGACCGGTTGCTGGCAGTAGACGTGCTCGGTGAGGTGACGATGCAGGAAGGCACTGTTCACGTCCATCTGATGAACTGGCCATTGGCGTGTCGCTGCGACAGACAGAACAGTGTGAATTGTGGCTGCCTTGACCACCGACGA